ATGGAATTGATATACTGTGTGACTCATTCCTTTTTAATGCACATACACATAATCATAAAATATGCTCATTATATTTCTCACAATCTGTGACTCGTCCTCACCTATTCTATGTGAAAATTATTTACAAACTGAACCTGGGTAAGTTTTATTACTCGCAATAAAGAGAAGGTAGCAATGCAGGATTGGCAGATGCAATGCACGAGAAAGCCCGACCCTTTCCGTCTGTCTCAGCCACGAATTAATAGACAATAGCAAGTAACACATTAGCTGGAGAAAACATGCATCGCATAATGAACGTCCATTGACAACCAGAACAAATTGCTCAGCGAGTAATAGAAACTTTGGAGGCCAGCTTGTAATTACAGCTGAAATATATTGCAATCATAATAGATTATCCCGGTAAATATCGAGGGAAAACTCCTAAATCACGTCCATTTGGCAAGATATATTTGACCGAGGAAGCAAACCTGTTGGAGAGTCCGCCTCGGGCTCGAGCGAACAGTGAGAGGAATGTGGCAACGACTCCCTCGGCGAAGGGAGCCTTGGGTCGTCTCTTATCGTGCCTCGCGTCGTGATCGGGACGAGGAGAGAAGCACGGATTGCGATTTGCGAAGTTCTAGCTTCGCCCGGGCCTCAGTGACAGCATGCTATAATAAATGCCCCGACCGAAAGCAGACAGCGATGGGAGGCGGAGGCCCACCGCTGCGGAGGGTCAGCTGCTGCGTTATCATCCCGCTTCATCTGCGGGACCGCCTTGCCAGCGACACCAAAAGAGGAACAGCAACAATGGCAATAGCAACTGTAATGAAGGCGTTCGTGCATCGCAAGCCATTATACCATGACTGCCTTCTGTATGGTGCTCAGTCGCCTCTGCCTGCGAGAGCTAGAAAGAAAAACTTCAGCTGAACGCAACCTGGCGGCAGACTGAAGATGCAAGGAATTACTCTACTCTTTGTTTACGCATCCAAGAGTATAAGCGAGCTCCCTGCATCGCATTCAGGTAAGTCGAACTCAGATAAAAAGGAACTTGTTTATGACGCACATGTTAAGTCCAGGTCTGAATGCGTAATACTCCCCAATAAAGGCTTTAATATGAATGGGCACAGGATGCTGAGTAAGCACATGTACTCCAAGTCATTGTTACAACGGGCGGCACACATACTGGCGACTCGCCGTACCACCCTTGCGGTGACAGAAATAATGAACGTCCATTGACAACCAGAACAAATTGCTCAGCGAGTAATAGAAACTTTGGAGGCCAGCTTGTAATTACAGCTGAAATATATTGCAATCATAATAGATTATCCCGGTAAATATCGAGGGAAAACTCCTAAATCACGTCCATTTGGCAAGATATATTTGACCGAGGAAGCAAACCTGTTGGAGAGTCCGCCTCGGGCTCGAGCGAACAGTGAGAGGAATGTGGCAACGACTCCCTCGGCGAAGGGAGCCTTGGGTCGTCTCTTATCGTGCCTCGCGTCGTGATCGGGACGAGGAGAGAAGCACGGATTGCGATTTGCGAAGTTCTAGCTTCGCCCGGGCCTCAGTGACAGCATGCTATAATAAATGCCCCGACCGAAAGCAGACAGCGATGGGAGGCGGAGGCCCACCGCTGCGGAGGGTCAGCTGCTGCGTTATCATCCCGCTTCATCTGCGGGACCGCCTTGCCAGCGACACCAAAAGAGGAACAGCAACAATGGCAATAGCAACTGTAATGAAGGCGTTCGTGCATCGCAAGCCATTATACCATGACTGCCTTCTGTATGGTGCTCAGTCGCCTCTGCCTGCGAGAGCTAGAAAGAAAAACTTCAGCTGAACGCAACCTGGCGGCAGACTGAAGATGCAAGGAATTACTCTACTCTTTGTTTACGCATCCAAGAGTATAAGCGAGCTCCCTGCATCGCATTCAGGTAAGTCGAACTCAGATAAAAAAGGAACTTGTTTATGACGCACATGTTAAGTCCAGGTCTGAATGCGTAATACTCCCCAATAAAGGCTTTAATATGAATGGGCACAGGATGCTGAGTAAGCACATGTACTCCAAGTCATTGTTACAACGGGCGGCACACATACTGGCGACTCGCCGTACCACCCTTGCGGACAGACTTCTGATTACCGCAATTTAAATATCACACCATTATGGTAATAAGAGCAGTGGTAATATAATCACAAGATTAGAGAATACACGATTCTCACAATCTGTAAGAATTTATAGCTGTCGCAGAGGCAGATATAAGCTGGAAAATGTGATAAACAGCAACCAAGATGTACGATACATGAAGAGGAAGGAAGGTATAGCTTTCGGCTTCGAAAGATTGCCAGTAATTACCTCGACGCAGCCCGACCTCATTGTCATTTTAATTCTCTAAATCGAGAAGAGCATTGAGGGGAAAACAGTGCAATGCCACGTCTTACTTTCAGCGCAAGACGACGCAAAGGCGAACCCGGACGTAGGGGCTACAGTGCCTGCAGACGCGCTAATCGCTCTTGTCGTTCGGCTGGAGGATGAGGTTTGGCGCTGTATTGTCCCCGGGGTGAGAGGTTGTGGGAAAGAGGAAGAATGTGGGGCACGGGCGAAGCGGGGGACGCGGCCATAATGCGCTCCAGCAATGACATCGACCTTCCTCCAACACTTCGACGTCGACCTTGCTCCACCACGTTTCTCTAACACTCCAACGTCGACCTCCCTCCACCTTTCCGATATCAACTTCCTCCTCCAACACACGTCGATCTTATTCTAACACCAACGTCGACCCTCCTTCACCGCTCCGACGTCGACCTTCCACCAACACCAAAGCGCCAGCCTTCCTCCACCGACACCGAACGTCCTCCACCTCAGGCCCTCCACCTAATGAGGCAACGGCGCCCCGAAGACCTTGCTCGACGTAGACCCCAAATCGCCGCCGCTTGCCCCCCCCCTCCTCCCTTCACCGACGACCCCGCCCCCTTTTCAGCAGCGTATCACACCGTTAGAAAAGACACAATCCGTCCCTTTCTTCGCGTCCAGAAGGGCATGGAAATTCGATTCAGAACCTTTAAAATGCTGGACGTCTGCCGCACAGAGGGACGGCGCGGACTTAATCTCGTTACGGCATACGAGTGACGGATGGAGCTGAGGGGTCGTGGCGAAGGCTCTCGAGCTTATGAATATAGGCTGGTGGGGGGCGGGGGGTAGAGGGGCTAGGGAGGGAGGAGAAAGAGGGTGGGGATTGGAAGGGAGGGATGGAGGGATAGGGAAGTAGGGGGAGAGTGAGGGGGGTTGATGCAAAGGGAGGGAGGTTTGGGAGAGGGAGAGGGGTTGGGGACGAAGGAGAGTGGGCGGTAAGAGGAGAGGAGAGTAGGGAAATGGGCTAAGAGGGGGTCACCTTAGGGGTGATGAGTCGGTACAGATGGGCGCTAATGCCTGGGTGACGCCGTGGCACCCATCGATACAAATGTTAACGA